GACAAAGTACCTTTACTCATCCCAAACAGACTCAATCAAGTTCTTCATATGCAATTTGTAGCTTTCGCCAAGTTTGACCGCCACGAAAACGCAACAACGAATTATTATACAATAATTTCATATGATATTAATTGTAGAACATGAAATTAAGCACGAAAAGTATGATGTGGTAACAATTTCGAGATTATCAGCTACTTATCCTTTTGACCGAAAAAAGTTCATTTAACAAAATTGAATTTCGGACAAAAGGAATTAGAGATGGTCTTTATGTTTTATGAGATGTATTGGATAGGTACTCCATCCTTTCAGACCAGACAACTAATAGCATATTATTTTTTATATATTTTTGTAAAGTTCTCGGTAAGTTGCAACATTGAGGAAAGGCCACGACATTGCTGCTTTACAAGCAAAAATATTTCATTAATAATATTTCATTAAATAGTAATACCGAGACGATTGTGTACTCATTCTCAATAGACATAATTATATTCAAAATTAATATAACTAATTATGGGCTTATAACCAGTCTTAAAAATTTAATTTTATTGTTAGTACTCAATGCTTTTTATTAACTGCTAAAATATAGAAAATGAAAATCTTTCTGCAGCAATTATGTCACATACTGAGATGAGAGATCGGCGAATTCTTAAAGTATATATGAGGGTTCTGATTACTCAGTATAAGTAAATTCCTTATAAATGATAGAATGAAGATAATGCATAATTTCATTACAATTGATGCATTTCAGAACAACAAATAACATAGTTTCGTTTATAATTATTTATTTTACAAGTAACTATGTTTGTTGTAGGAGATAATGTGCGATGTAAGGTAATAAGCTGCCGCTTCGAACGTGAATTCATTGGTGCATTGTCCTTCTTATCTTCGGAACAGATTCCGTGGCGAAAGCCCTTTAGCAACATGAATCTCGATGACACACAATAAATCTACGAGACGAACAGAAATCGAATATATATATATATATACATACATATATATATATATATATATATATATATATATATATAACGCATATTACGATAGTTCTGGGTAATGATTAATTCCATTAAAGCTTAACAAAGAAACTTATCAGTTTGAAATAATAACGATGCAATTGAACTCATTGAACATATGGGGTCTACACTTTCGGTGTTCTATTGTAACTAACAGAATACTAAGTGTACTACTGTAATTTAACTTTGCATTTATTTATTCGTTTATTAAATTGTATAAAGACTAACCAATATTCTATTTGACAGATATTTTATTTATTTCAAATTTTGCATTATTCGTATACGTATAAAGTGAAATAAATCAAAGTTCTTAGGCTGGATTTCTAGACTTGCTTTCAATACTCAAATGGTTAATGTATTTATTAGGATCTCGTCTCTACGCTAGGCATTCAACTTATATACGTGACAGCGTAGTAAAGTCAGCTACGGGATATATGTTGGAAATGAATTGAGTAAAAATAATTTAATATTGATTAACAGATTGATTAAGGATCATTTAAGATGTTTTACATGAAAAGTTTTGAAAAGCTACATTTAAAAATATCCTCATTGATCATTGATTTTCTTGATATTGGAATATAAATTTCACAATCAATTATATACCATTAATATTTAAATTTACATTCCAATGTTTATTATTACTAATCTTAATTTGGTAAAATCATAATACACGCAAAATTATAAAACTTATTCTGAAATTATATTGCGATTGGACGAATAGTTCACTACTTGAACACAATGACGTTTACAGAACTTTAAAAATCTATACTCAAATATTATCAAGAATAAAATTAGTAAAAATTAATTATTACGTTCAATGTGCACTTAATGCTTGTTCCCAATGTCATTTTTGTAAAAATAATTTTCCAAAATTGATGATAATCATCAGGTGGAATAACAAGAACTGTATACATTATATAACAGGAATATTGTACTCTGAACCAAAATCTCAGTACAGTTTTCCTCGGTGATTAGGGACGTCGCGGTAGTTATATGGGACTGTAAACGGATTTTAACATAACATAATGTAGCCGAGTTAAATAAACTAAACTACTGTCGACTTATCGATAATAATTTACAAATATACGTCACTGACAATTAAGCGAATACCTTGAGAACGTAATGTAAATATTATAAAGGCTCAATTTTTCTATATTTCTTTATAACCTAAATTCTGGCATTAATGTGAAGTATGCAATTGTTTAAACGCACATTACATTTATCAAATGTTTACAAATGCAAACACCAAACGTATAAAGTGCAATAAAACATTTGAGACTCTCGAGTTTTCTGTGTAATGCCAATTACTTACATAAATAATCAAGCCTCTTTACAACGTTCAAACATCCAACTGTCACTTTAATCATCTTCGTATTAAAATTCGAAAGATTTACGCTCAATACTATACATATATATATATATATATATATATATATATATATATATATATATATATATATTAATTTTACTCTACACATGTGCATTCAATCATTATTAAAATACTTCTTTAATATAACCCTTTATTGGTTATCATTAAAGACGATATTCAATAATAATAATAAGAGTAAGGAATTAATTTTCGATATAACGTGAAAAAACATTAGATTAATACGAGGGGTTGTAAATCACGATATAAAATTTATTTAAGATAATTTTTTTAAATGAAACGCCTCGTTTATAAGTGCAAAACTGTGTTTGTAGTGAAATTAAATTGAAGCAAATTACAAATTGGCTAATAATACACATTTATGAAAATTTTGGATATTTTACGAGGCAATTGTGGAAGCGATTGGTAAGTTTTTAAAAGAATAATATTTACTCGTTAAAAATAACTTAAAAACATCTTACATTAGAATATTCAACAAATGCCCTTATTTTTATTATTAATATTTTTTTTTTTTTTTTTTTTTTTTTTTTTTTTATTATTATTAATGTGTATATTTTCAATTCTCCAAGTAAAATTTTTCAAATAAAAAAGTTCAAGATCAATAAGAAATACAATGATCTTGTTATTCTACCAAATAAAAACATTTTACTTTATTGAATTTATGAGTCTATAAAATATATAAATTTATGAGAATAGACACGCAATAAATAAGGGTCCGGGGAGGGTGATAGAATTAATAAAAACTTCATAATATTTAATAATTATAATATGTTTTTTTTTTTTATTTATAATATATGATCTTTCTAATAGTCCTTTTTGACAATTAGAATACACAGTGTCGACTGGATCGATATATCGATATCCGAATAGTATTTCGGAAATACTATTTATTTGATCGACGGCCCAATGGAAGTCTGACTGTGACGGACAATATATTTTACTTTTTTAGAATATATTGATTGAGAATTCAATGAACTCGATCATTAATGACTTACTCAATAGGAAACATTCTGTTATTTTCCGTTCATGTTCTTTGCATCTTTATTCCTCGAGATATGGATATTCAGTTTCTATTAAGATTCTGATCTCCTTCTTCTTGTACGTAAAAAAGGGTTCTTGATGGTTTCTCGTAAATTTTTTATGGATCGTACAGATTGTATTGTACTGTACTCTGTTGTCTAGATGTCCATAAATTTGAAATTCATAGTTCGTGCACGAGTATTTGTATTCGTCAGCCCCGATCACCAATATTTAAGATTTGTCAAATTGCTCAATTAGCCCAAGAGAAGTAAATGCTTAGTTAATTGTTATCTACCTTTATCGAAGGAAAGATACAGATGTTTAATAATAATGACGAGACTCATCAATTAGTTGTACTTTGGCACAGATTACGCTATTGCGCGGCAAAAAGTAAACCAGATATTTTAATTTTTGCTTTGACGATGGCTAAATTGCCTGTCGGGCTCGTTAATCCTGCAAATTATTAGTTCGCGTGCGTTTGTCAATTTATTTATTCTTGCGTTTCGTATTAAACGTGTTGCAAAAACCAAGATTCCGACAAACAACATAAGCTTCGCAAAAACGGTAAATGCATAAAATAGGGAGAAAATAAAGATATGCAATGGAATATCCTCGGTGCACGGCAACCTCTTCAATAAATAAATCGAGTAATTAAATAATATTTTATTAATTACAATAATTACATTTTTATTGTATATTTCTATGTATTACTTTTTTGCCTTCGTTTTTCGTTTTTTAACGTGTTTTTTAATCTTTGCTTTACGATCTTCTGATTTCTTATTCTTTAATATTTTCTTTCGTATCTGTAATAAAATTAATGCATGTATTTATAGTTTATTCGTTATTTAAATGTCAACTAAAAATTAAAAATTTAAATAAATTAAAATTTTCATGGTTACGTGACTAATGAAAATGCGATGTCATAATGAAATTTTCTTTAAACAGGGTTTAAATAAGGGACAACAAAATTAAAATATTAACAATTACAAAATAGAAATTGATAAACATGAGAAATTATATGTCACATAAAAATCAGACTTACAAAATTTCCATAAATTTCATAAAATTCCTTTATTTATGCTATTGAGCTTTAAAATAATTATTAATAATACGTATTTTTAAAATACCTTTCGTTCCTCGGTTGTCTCATTTTTAGGACGAGCCGAATTTACAAATTTGGATTCCTTTTCACTTTCTTCTTCAGATCCATCGCTATCTGTATCATCAAAACTACTATCATCTGAACTCTCATCGCTTGCAACTTGGTTACTTTCTTTTTTTTTAACTTTACTTTCCTCATTCTGGGATTCATTATATAAAATCTCAGGTATTAAAGCTGGTTTTGACAAATCTGCTTTTAAACCAATTAATGTTTTGTAAATAAGATTTCCTTTACCAGATTTTGCAAGTTGAATATCTCTTTCAATATCTATTACCTAAACAATAATATATGCTATCTGTATTCATATTATGTTGTAAAGAAACTAAATTTTTTTTTTTTATTTGTTTCAATATGAATGTTATCATTTATTATACCTCTGTTAATCTTTGAGGTATGTAGATATTTTTAAAGACTTCTTCCTCGATTTGCTGTTCAGGTTCCATTTTTGTTGGCTTATTTTCCATTATTTTTGACATTTTATCAAGATATGTATGCATATTTTTTTCATTTATTGTTGGATCAGTTATAAAGTCAAATAGAGCTTTCATAGACATTACAGCAACTTTATTTTTTTTAAAGAAATCTAGAATCGTAAGAGGGTGAGATATTTATGCAAATTCTATTTTATAAAGCTTTCTGCAAACTATGTAAAAGTATATTATTTATTTGCAGAAGAGTTTAAAAATTGAAATTATTTTTTAATCTTAAATTAAATAAAATACTTTTGTTACGAGGCCGTGCTTTGTCGCATCATTTTTAAGAGTGAAAAGTACTTGGACGTTAATTATAAATACTCTATATAGTAAAGTTTTTAAATAAAATTAGTTTTATATTAGTTTTATAAATAGTAAGAAAAAACAAATGCAAAAAAATAGGTCATTAACGCTTCTAAAATACTTTAACGTATACAGTATACTTTTAATTATTGCATTTTTAATAACATATTTGTTAAAATATTTAATATAATAATATATTCTATATTATATAATACATCTATTATCTATTTGTTAAAAGAATTATTATTGTAAAACAGAATTTCAGTTTAAAATTTAAAAAAATATAAACTATACTAAAATTTTTTTAATGTAAACATAATATTGTAAAATATAATACTATTTTATTTCAGAACAGAGTTTAATTATTATTTATATTATTTATAATAGTCTGCATTAGTAAAAAAAATTAAATTAGTTAATACGTTTACCTGTTATGTTAGTACAGTCTGTCCTTAAAAATTCTAACGCCATGGGATGATCATGTTCGACGGATTGCGATACGTCAATTATAACGAGAGATTCTTCGTGATAAAGTATATTATATTCACTTAAATCAGCATGAACTAATTTACATTTGTTGTAAAGCTTCCACATGATTTCAATACATTCTCTGTAGAGTCGTCTTGGTTGAGAAGATACAAGGAGAGCGTCCTTTAGTTTTGGCGATGGCCAGCCTTTTACACCAATAAAATCCATTAATAAAACATGACTTTTTAACATTATTGGTTTAGGTGCTTTAATTCCTGCTTGTTGTAAGCGATTAAGATTTCGCATTTCTTTTTCTGCCCAAGTACGTACCATTTTTCTTGGATTACTACGACAATAACCGTGTCGAAAACGAAATTCTCCAGTAACATATTTGTCTCTATCTTTGAAAACTAATATAGACGTTTTATAAATTTTTATAGCAAATTCAATACCGGTAGTGGATCTGGCATGATATACATTAGCCTCTTTACCCGTAGAAATACAACCATTGATTTCATTTATAATTCCTTTATTTAACATTTTAAATAGAATTATTCTAGTTCTTGGATCCATAACCTGTTCTACGGTGGCTCGATCGCTTTTGTCTTTTATACGTATTTTATTATTTTCCATACTTCTAGTTTTTTCATTTAGAATATTTGTTGCGGTTTGAGATAATGTTGGACCTTCGTAATCTGTTATATTTACTTTATTGGCATACCTTCTAAAAAGTTTATCCGATGGTTGAAAATTAGTAAGTTTGGATGAAGTTCCTTGGCAGTTCTTAGTATGTACATTTGCTTTAAATCTAAATTTATGCATGTCACTTTCATCATCCAATATATAATCATCATATTCATTATCAATCATATCATCATCTGCATCCTCATTTATATTTAGTTTATTTAATTTTTCACATAAAGCGGAACGAAAAATAGGTTCGCCTTTTAAAGGAATTGGTCTGCTACAAAGAAAAATAATACTTAGTAATGCATTAATTATTAATTGTTGATAAATATACCAATAAGCAAATATAAGTAATATATAAAAATATATAATATAATATTGTTGAATCCAATACAATTGAATTTGAAAATAATGAATAAAAAATTAATAATAATTAAATTATAAATAATTAAAATATTGTAAAATTAATTAAACAAATCCCACCAAAATAATTATTTGAAGTTTAATCATATTTCATTCAAGATATAAACATATTAACAATTAAATAAATAAAATTGTGTAATCGTATAATTAGCGTGTATATCGTCGACTAACAAGGTTAAAAATCATTTTATATATTTTACTAATTATAAACAAGTACTTGATACACTTACCTAACATCGTTTTCATCGGCATCGCTATATTGACCTTCTTCGTCTCCTTCCATTTATTCATTTATTGTTTGTATATAATATTAAGAATAAAATTTTTTCAGTCGCTTTCGCTCAGTTTACTAGCAGAAAATAAATTTGAGGTTAAGATTCACTTGACCATAACGTAAATAATTAAATAAGACAGAACCTTATATGTATTTCATATTATTCCTCTCATTTTTCACATTAACAAATATTTCCGCTTTTCAAAAATCTATGCTCATCTAATGGAATTTTCTATTTATCATCTAATTTTCATCAACTATTTCTATTTCCCTATCTTTCTTTCATTCGTTGGTTTCATCTATCTTTCATTCTTTATTCCTTATTTTATCTTTTTCTTTCTCTCTCTCTCTCTCTCTCTATATATATATATATATATATATATATATATATATATATATATATATATCTCATTCAAATAACAAACTACAGATTCTTTGTCTCTTTACTATGTACGTATACATAGTATGAATTTATCCTTCTTTCTTTTATTCGCATGTAATAAGGATTATTATAAAGTAACAAATTAAATATCAAAATTTCTGCTAATCATAATAAAATACTTCCCAAAATATTAATAGATGGATTTAAAAATAAAAAAGGTCTTTTATTTTTAAATCGAATTTTTCTTTAATTCAACATGAGAATACATTAACATTAATATTATAATTTTATATCAGCTTATAAACGAATTGTTTAATAATTTTCTTTAAATTAATTAATACTCAAAAATAAAAGTTTATTTATTCAAATAATTTTTAAATAAGAATATTAACAATTTTATCATTTTTATAATAATTCATATGGTATTTATTACTATTTTCGTTCCTATTACGTAAAGTTTTATAATTTAAGTTATTATTATTTACAATGTCATTTAATAGTATGTTTATAACTGTTGAATTATACAATGAATAAATAAACAAAAGCTAAATTGGCATTTATGCGAAAGTAGTAAGAAAAATGTAGCTTTTTTATCATTTCTAGATAGTGAGAGAAAAGGTAGCATTTTAATTATAACGGATGATCTAAATGAAATTAATTCTTTAGATTTAGGTTATTATAATAAAAATTTATTAACAGAAAATTACCGACATACGAAATAATATTAGAAATGTAGATCGAATTTTAGTACGACTGTCTTTAAAAGAAGAAA